ATTGGAATCGGAGCAGTGTTATCACAACCGTCCGGAGTAATTGAATATGCCAGCCGCCTACTCACAGACGCCGAAAGGAAGTACTTGACCACTGAAAACAAGTGCCTGGCGATTGTATGGGCTTTGGAGAAATGGTGAAAGTATTTAATTGCGGATACCTTCCGCATCAAGACAGACAACAAACCCTTGGCGTGGTTGATGACGGCGCGAGATCCGAGAGGAAGATTAGAGCAATGAGCGTATCGTCTTTAGGAATTTACGTTTACCATTGAACATGTTGACGGCAAAGATAACGGGATTCCTGACTTCCTGTTGCGTCCGATCAACGATGAAGGTGATCCACCGGATGCCATTCCAGTTTCCCGGCTGTTTTCGAGTGAGGTGGAAATTATTAAATATTAAAAAGAAGATGGCCTGGCACGAACCATCTGTAAACATTTGCGGTCAAAAACGAAGCCGGAAGAGACGTCACCAGAAATAGGAGAATTATTGGAGATCTGGGATCGCCTACGTTTGAACAATGAGAGCTTAGTGGTTGAAATGGGCATGAAACATGGATTGAGACCTAGACGACTGCCATTCATCCCAGCCGGCCTTCTTGAAAGGGTGTTGAGGTTTGCATGCGATGGAGCACACATGGGATGGCAACGAGTTATCGATTCATTACGACGTCGTGTGTCCTGGCCAACAATGCGTCGAGATGCAATTGAATGCATCCGTTCTTGTTCCGAGTGCCAAAATAAAAAATATACGACGCCATAAACAACGCCAATGAAACCAATGGACACACAGAGAGTACCTCAAACCTGGGGACTGGATGCGTTTGGACCTCTATCTATTAGTCCAAGCGGGAACAAGTACATTGTTGTGATGGTCGAACTCATGTGTCGCTGGGTGGAAGCGGTACCAACCTCAGATCAAACAAGATAAACAGTTCCTTAAATATTTATAGGTAATGTAGTTGTACGATTCGGCATCCCGGAAAATGTCATTATCGACCAGGAACCGTGTTTTGAATCCAAGGTTTTTCGGGAGAACTCAGACCGCTGAAGCATCAAACGAACAAGAACGTCCCTCTTTCATCCGCAGGCCGACGAAATGACTGAAAAGCTTCAACAGAACAATGAAGGAATGGCTCAATAACCGTCGCGTTGATTGGGAAAAAAAGCCTATAGAAAATCATATTCAACTAGAGAACCACATCTCATTCGACAAAGGAGATATTACCCTACGAAATCATATATGGTAGAGAACACAGAACCCCTCTAGATCTGGAGAACGACTTTCCACGAAGGAGCAAGACAAGGTGGAGAGAGCAGGGATTCAGCGAACCAGGCAGACCCGGCAGCGCAACAGGGCAAGGTACGACAAAGAACACCGATCACAAAAGTGACAATCTTTCGTACCTAGTAAAAGTTAAGAATCAAGGCAGAACCGAAACAACAGGACTGGGGCTGGGAAGTTCAAGCGGAGGCGAATGGGCCATTCACTGTCCTGGAGAGGAAGAACACCAGTTTTCGGATCAACCAGGATCATTAAGGGAGATTGGTAAATGGTAAAGAATTGGAGGGATGATACACCCGCGGCAATTATTGTAAAAGAGGGGCGAGTGTGATGGAAGGTGGTACAAAGAGAGCCCCGGCGAGCGAACGAATCAAGAATGGGGCCCATCCAACCAGACGCACAGACGTAGTGGCTGGAATTACTTCGCGAGACAATGTTGTCTACCACCCGAAACGAACTAATCGACGAATACAGCCCGACAGACAATCCGCAGCTAGCCAGAAAGATATCCACCGAATTCCACACTGTCAAAGCTGTCGATCAAGATATCTCGCACCACGATCGGGCCAAATTAGTCAGGACGGCAAGCGGAAAAAGAGGCGACGTACGTGTCCAGTGCGAACGAAAACCAACAGAGATTGAGTAACAGAAAGAGCCATGAATCATCCTGCCGCGCGGTTAAGAATTGAATGTGTATAACTGAACGAGTACATCGATTGTTTCTGAATTGGATCAATAGACGTTTTCCCAGCCAAATCATCTTCTCGCTACAGTAATGCTTGATAGTCAAGAATTAGCTATCGTGGAATGTTTCTCCTACTTAGGTAGCTGCGTGACGAACGATGGCAGTATAGTCAGCAAAGTATCCGCCAGCATTTCCAAAGCTCGAGAAGCTTACACGGGACTGAAACATCTTTGATGCAGACGCTATGTTTTGTTGAAACTGAAAGGTTTCGTACACTGCGCCAGCATGCGGTTAGTTCTGCTTTATGGTTGCAAGACCCTAAATTTGCCCGTGGAAGATGTTCGTCTTCTAGCAGTCTTCGACTGCTGATGTTTATTTAGTTTGGCGCGGGTTGAATTCTGCAATATTTTGACAAAAATACTTTTCATTCGGCAAACCGAAAAAGACAATAGTCTCGGGTATCCATAGACGTTTTCATAACCTTTCATCACTAGTGTTCCAACCAGCTATTGGTACAACGTAGAATAAACAATGCATTCATTTTTTTCAATTCATCCCAATTCAAAGAAAGAAAGATCTAATACGTTGTTTTGTACAGCAGGAATGACAATGTTCAGGGTGCACTTAGTTGATTATGACCTCTAGAATCGAGGAAGTGCATTGCACAGCACGTCTACTCGGAACGATATACTGATAGTGCAATAACGGATCTTGATAAAATATCTAAGAATTTAAATGCGATGGAAATGTTTGTGATAACCAATAAAGATCACTGGACAGCTGTTTCGTCCTGTTTGGAACTCGTCAGCAGTGCGTACTTTTTGTGTCCCTGTCAGTGCCTGGTGCCTCTGAACAATCGAATGGGCTAATCCAAGCTTGATACTCTAAAATATCTAAGCATATTCCTGATTTTATGGGACTGGGTATACTGGCCGAACGACCAGCAGCTTATTCGATGCTGTTCGGCTTGAGTAAGAATGGGCACGTTGAGGATATCTGCAAGCGTGATTTGTTTGCCCTCTGTTCAATCAAACCATTCTGCGGATACGGGAAACGCATTCATTGATCCACTTGCACAGTGTACAAAAAACACATCAGGTCAGGTCACAAAACTAGCGGCTTCGGCCAGTGGACGTCCAGGTTCTTGCACTTGTGAGTTGATCGTACCCACTGTGCTTCGACTGCCAGAAGGGGTGAAGCACTGATGCTAACCACAATAGATTTTGTAGGTATTCGGATTCACAAGCCTATATCCTGTGTGCTCAGCAGGAAAAAATATGCGAGCACTTAAACTTCACTTCATCTACTGTAACACGTGTGCAAACACATTGGAGCTTTACCATTGCAATCACTTTCTCATGCGCACGCACGCACTCAACTAGTTTGTCATCCTTCTTCCTTGTGCAGATAATCATATTTGGTGTTATGCATAGCTATGATTAAGAATACTTGAGAGCAAGGTTGTTCATCAAACACTGTTTTGGTTACTCCATTCGAGATATACATTTTAGAGAACGAAATTGGATTTCTGTCCCACAATGTTTCTGTTTGGCATTTCTACAGCTTACGATCGGTTAGTTTAAGAACTTTCACCGTTTTCTCAAGTTTCAGTAGGAAAGGAAAAGAGCAGGTCATTAGTTAGGTGCGTGATGCCTCTATATTTTTGTAAAAAAACTCGTATTGTGTGTTACCCAATACTTTTCCGAATAGGATGGATTGACGACCACCCGGATGGAGCTGGAAGATTTTCTCGGGAATTGTTTTACTTGAAGCTTCCATGGGCGTTGTCACAACGAAGACGCGCTACGGAATGATCGATTTGGAATCCAGTTACTCCGGAATAAGATGGCCGTCTCTTTCTTTCGTGATATGCAAAGGACGAACTTTCTCATACGGATTTGATAAGGTGTTGATGACAGTGGTATATAGAACACATGTCAAAGCACACATGACCTTAGTAGCCAAAGGGACTAACGTTAGGTAGAACGTGTTAGTCTGCACGACTGCTTGTTCGCGAGTTATGAAATGAACAGCCGTTGAGGGATACAAAAGTTTTACTTATTATGGCACTATTGGCCCGAATATCCTTTAGGAATCTTATAGCTGTTCCACATTCCTGAATTAAACTAAGAAACTAAGGGAACAAGGAATGACTGCTATGGGAAACGGAAGCGCGTTTCAGGTCTTCCTTCTGGTGGACTTGTAGATGCGCTTACTCCACTGAATAGTCGTGGGTTCCTCTTACCCTGTTCAAATGCAATGAGAACTGCTTGTTTGCATATAACCATATAGAGGTTAATTTATCGTCCGCCTTTCCGTGGAAACCCGTTTCATGTGAAACCGCCAAGAAATGATCGTGCTCTCTTTTCATTTTCAAACGAAATTCCATTTGAAATTGAGTTAGTGATGTCATGAGAAAACAAATGTGGAACTCTTTATGCACTTTGAGTTTGAGCTGTGGCATCATGGGAAAACATATTTATGTTGAATCTCTGAACGCAGAGAATTTCCACAGATTCACTTTCTCCAACTTACACGGAACAGGATTCACGTTTCCTAATTTGATGAAAGTAATGCTCAACGAGATTTCAGGAATGATCTACCGTTTATTTGCAGCGATGTGTTTGGAGAAATTGGGGTATTTGATGAGAGAAAGTAAACAATGCACGAAGGGAGACTCGTGAATATCAAAGTTGGAAAACCACACGAGCGGATAGGAAAAAACTTCGGAATAGCCGATAGCTCAAACATTTTACTTTTGTCTTCGATATCAGTGGTTCTATATGGGAAATGAAATGTCCGAAATACGTCATTCTCAACATGTCCATTCATTTCATTATTGTGAACATGCACTGTAAACGGTCAATGGAATCGCGAGAGTCAATAATGAGTTCACAAGGAACATGGTCCCCGTGAATCAGAACATTTGAGATCCTGAGTTTCTTCGAATTGAGGATTATTCCTAAAACCAAATAACCACTCTGTTGCAAACGACTGACCGAACGGTTTCACAGTGGATGTTGTAGAAATCCTATGGAGAATGCGAGCCCCTCTTGTCGTCGTTACACGCGAGGACATGAGTCTGTTTCTTGCCACGATCAGACATGTTCACCAAACTGACGATTGTATTGAATTTCTGTCTGAGCTTTTCAACACACTTATTTCGACCACGATATGGAAGAATAGTGCATGTCCAGGCAGAAATACAACAACTGGTTAACGTTTTACGAAGGGCGGGAAGGGAGAATAAAATCACAAGTGGATTTAAGATACTGCTCAAAGTGGTCACAAACACACTAATCATTTGTATGCTTGCACCGTATTCATAACCCAAATTTAAATTAGCCCCGATCAGATAATAGAGCGTATCAACTGTGTGGGTCAATAGTAGGGAAATGATGAAACCGAATGTAGCCACTGACAATGATTGATAAACGGGATTTAGCATATTTGTATTGCGTTGTTTTTGTTGCTGTTGCTCTGTCGTGTCTAAATTGCTTACACTGTGTGTGGTGCGGATATGTCGGAGGAAATACACAACTCGTATATAGACCACAAACATGGTGACCATTGGAAGTAAGTAGTACGCGAAGAACCAGTAAATAGAGTTCAACTGAACTCGTGTTCCCTCTACAGTGACCGTATCTTCCGCAGATGTTTCACATGTCCCATTATTGTATCTCACGTACAGTGTGGACGGAACGTTGAGTAGTAGGGAATAGACGACCGATCCCACAGTACACACGATGAGATAGCGCTTCTGGTATCGCCGATATGTGACATAGTAAACCGTGGCCCACAATCGATCCATGGTAATCCACGTTAGATTCGCCTGACCCCAGACAACGAAAAACCACAAGGGAAACTGATCGCGCCATATGTAGCATACAGTTCGAGCAATCCATTCTGTGGAACGGTCCAACTCGTTGATCCAGAACATGATCATACCACCAACACAACATATGGCATCCAGTATTGGTTGTGTGCGATAGAGCCAGGCAGTGAGAAGGGAATTCAATTCTACACGTTGAAGCATGAAAAATGTGAGCCCGTTGAGAAGAATTCCAATGCACAGAATCATCGTTCCAATTATCATCACAGTCAAATCTCCTTGGGTAACCATTTGCGTTCCTATACTGGGAGACTTTGTGATACTCTATTTTCGTTGGTGATTTGGAGTCTTTTATAATATGAGTGCGACTGGAAGCATGAATATGTTTGCGCTGTAGGTGTGGGTGTATTTTTTATTCAATTAGATTGACATTTACATGTGTAATTCGCCAGAAAGTTAGCTCCGTTGTCTGATGCCTAACACGAGTCTAAACTGGGAGTCGTGGGAAATCGGCTACCCGAAAATGTTTGATAACATCCCGACTGCAAACAAAGCAGCATGCTCTATCGCCATGGATTCCGAACATTGTTGACTCGGGTGAACCAGTCTTTGCGGCTTCACCCTATTCAACTCAGTGTTTTCCGGCATCTAATGCATGGCATTTTCGACTGGATTTAAGATTCGCATCTCCAAGTTAGGAGGCAATTCTAACCCGACTTATTCTTTTCGTGTACCTTTTGAGAAAAATATCTTAGCTTTATCTACAAAAAGCTACTCTTGATAATTTGATCTTCCCTCCCTATATTCATTTTTTTCAAAATAACGACCGAAAAGTAAAGTCAAGTGTATGGGAATCATGAAATTTTGTTGTTTTGATCATTTCAGAAGCGAATATCATTTGATCATGTCAACTTTTTCACCAAATTTTAGTACAATTGAGTTGCCCTATCCAATTCTGGTTCGTTTTTTCAACGTACCAATCCGCTCTTATTTAAACCCATTCACTTGCGCCTTGAAAGTTTCATTACCGGAACCATTAAGAATTTCTCTTTACACATTATTGGTTTCAACGGGCAAATTGGAATATTTTCGGTCGCTGCTGTCTCTTACACCGGAATTAGTCTCGGTGTGTTGAGATAGCTACGATATTGAAGGGTCAATATTGATCTATCGTTCGTTGGGTACTTAATGTTCTACCAAATGCGTATTGATCAAGCCGTGAATAAACGATATAGGATATACGCATGCGTGTGCTTTATCATTTGAAGTTCCGCAAATTCATGGTTTCTCTTATATTCATAACCGGACATATGTACTGTAGAAACGTCCACTCTTCAAACGGCTGAAATATATAGAGTGCAAATAGAGTATAAAGGGACAAGCACACGCTTATTTGGTTCTTCTATACTATGTTGTATCAGTTTCATAAACCTAGGCGAGGTGGCATGCACGGGGTGTTGGAGAGGATGTTTGACATTCACATGTCAAAATAGTGAAGTATTGAAACACATCACCCAAATGCCAGTTACTTCTAACAATTCACGCCTTTAGGACAACTGAACTGCCTTCTATAGATTGTTTATGAAGAACAAACATTGCGTCGCATCTTGTTTCATATTAGAAAACATTGAATTACATAAATGAACAACAATACACCTCATTTTATATATACACTTATTTTCNCGGTCTGCACTCTCTCAAGGAACACAAGAAATACATACCAATAGTTTTTTCAATTAGGAGCGGAATGGCTTCACTGGAGTTCACTTCATGATTAGGACCTACAACAGAAATCCACTGTCTTGTGTTCATGGGCTACCCTGTTATCTGAACCAGCCAAAATGAGAGGCTCTCCACTCTGGCCAGTTCCGGGGATACTTACTCATTTAGCTTGTGTTGCAACGTACATTTGTCGTAGGTTGAGGCCATCATCCCAACGGATGAAGGAATACTGCCCACGCTGGTTAAGATGAGGAGGCACAGGGTGCATATAAAGCACCATTCTTGGTCATCAAATTAAATAGGAATCCATGTGCACATAATCTATTGTGTGCCCTCAAACATCTGTAATGCAGTGCGCTTACACACACTAAACAACTCTTAGGCCATAGTCATCTGCCTTCGCACAAAAGTGACTGGTTCACGCCCTTCACTTCAATTGGCCCAAATCGGTCACCAACATCAAACCCATCACCACTAGCAACTGATCTCAACTAAACGCAGCCATATAGGACTCACCCTTATCTTTCCCCAATACCGAATGACATTTGGATGTGCCCTCACAAACAGCAAACCCGTTTATGATCTGGGCAGCTAAGGTAATGAATCATTCGAAAACAAATGTCCGACATCTGATTTGTGTTCCAATGTCACAACTGGTTTATTCCGAAAATGAAAAGCTCATTATTCATTGAAGGACGAAGGTCATGTTGGCGGCACTCCGTTACTTCTGTGTGATAACTTTTCCAATGCCCAAATTTCCTCATTGCAATTTGTGAACCAGTTTCCTGGTGGCCTTTCCACCAATATGGTTCGCATCTACCTGTCACCAGCATGATTAAGATCATTTGTTGGAAATAAATCAAGTACTTTCTTCCAAATCCATATTCATTTAATCATATATTACCAACCATCTTTGGGGATAATTGTAGTTATGGCAACCTCGAAGCGGGGTGTAATATCCCGTTGCACCATTAAGTATAAATCGTGTTTTAGAATCCTCCTGTACTTTTTATATGGGCGTTCACGAACTGGACCAGAGAACATTACCATGGGCTGATGCCACACCACACACTGTCTTCGAAAGAACAGTGCGACGTAGCTGAAGTTCAACGTAGGTAATTTTGCTGGTATCTACGTGAGCTTTTTGTGATAGCGTTTGACTACCTTGGTAACGGCTAACTGGCGCTGAAGTTCGTTTATTACTAGATGAAGTTACTTTATTACTCACGAGTAGGCACAAAAGAATAGCCGAATTTGTATTTTCGGTCGTTGGATACACTTTTGTATTGTGATTGATCATACTTTAGACTGTATTTTCCGGCCCACTACTCATGTTATCTGATCAACCATACATTCGGGAACTACTCGACTGCAGTTTCATTCCCATAAGTTATGTTTTCACTATTTCATTAGCTATTCGAAATACAGTCCCAAAAGGAATTTCCAACTGAAAATATAAGTGGCCCTGAAATAGCATGTTTATCCGGGTAGGATAGGATGAACCTGGATGGAAGACGGCATCTGACAGAATTAACTATTTGCACACCTCGCTCCTCCTCTGAGTATTTTTGGAACAAATTATGCTTATCGTGTTTTCATCATTATTTGAACCTTCTTTGTTGGGAGATCCTGCCCAGATTGTTGCATTCTTTAAACACAATACATTATTTTATACTGACAATTCTCTCACTTCAGGGAACATACGTTTGAGATAAACCATTAAATCATCAAAATACAGATGTGGAAAAGTTTCTCCTATTGCCTTTTATCCTAACATCACAGTTGATTCGCTACATAATGAATGGTTTTGTACAATTCTTCTCAATAGCGATCGTCTCATTCTTAACAACTCAGTACGTCAATTATTTTAATTTAGTCGTTTTCCCACGATGCACTTTTTCATCCAGTGTTTTGCGTATCTAATGCAACCGAGGTTTACACAATGGGCTCCAGATTAGGAAACGGATACAGGGAGTTGCATTCCATGTCACTGCAAAGCTTAAATCTGTCGTGCGGCCTGATGCTCCTGGCCTGAATTTATCCATTCTAACTTGTTTCAACAGGTTTTCATGTATGATCAAAATACACTGAGCATGGAGAAATAACTTTCGCTGTGCGAATGGTTGTAATCAAGGCCATGTTCCTTCATGTGTTCTCTCAAATCCCTATGCTTGTAGTTCAGACGTCATGGCAATCATATAGCCTCTGAGTTTTAAAATAAAATTTCTAATGTAGACAGAAAATATTAGTCAAAACCATAACCTAAGACGTTTTTCACAGTTCATTCAAATTCCACACACTGCATTGCAAAGTTTACGCTTACAGAAGTAATATTTCCAATACAATACAAAAAAACAGCAAATACGCCCCGAATTATTATCTATGCGTTACCTTTTTTTGAGAGCAATATTTTTAATACGAAGATGTTTTCTATTCGGAAAGCACACTTTAATTCAGCCTACAATAGAAACTTTTCCCAAGGTGGGAATGTTAACTATTTGCACTTCTTGGTGACANTTTAAAAGTACTCCTACATTTGACATCCAGGTTTATCTTATCTTTCCCACTGCCACTGAACCTTACTTACTCCGCTCTCCTCTTCAGCGGTTCGACTTTGATTTTATTTCTACCTTAGTCCAGCTAATCGAGATTATCTTAAATATTTCGTTTTCGTAGTGTTACTGATCGTGAAAAATAATAACACCCAGTTATCCCCTCTCTGCATACTTTTGGGCGCACCACTTTCACATCAATAAATCGAAGTCCTCATACACTCGAGGGATAATGCATCATAAAAAGACTGAAGAGTTCAAATAAAAGCTTCCCCTAATGCATTTAAACCATTCGATTGTTTCACCGTGGATGTCCTTTTGAATTGTGTTCTTTAAACAAATATTTTTTCTGTCACAACACACCTTATTAACAGCGCCAAACAATTGGAATAATTGATATAACTATTTTATTAGTTTTTGCTCTTCTTTTTTTCTAGCTAAGCACTTAAGCTTTTTCAAAGTTATCCCTTGTGATTACTTTTGTATAGGATTGCAACACTTGTTTTGGGAAAGAACTATAAATGCTTAGTGTTCTGGTTTTATCGGAGACATACAGATCAACTTCGGTTTAGAGCATGCTGAGTTATGAAGTACCTTGTTATTTATGCACCGCTTTCTCAATGGCGATCATACTGTCACAGAATCATGAAAGTGCGCAATTACCAGAGAACGTCCCAACCGTTGCCTTGCGCAGTGAAATTTGAACCTATCTCATGCAAGTATCTCATTTCACACTCTGTTGCGAAACTCTACGGATCACCTTTGTAACACGGATATGTGAGTACAAACTTCACTTGAGGCAATCAGAAGCAAGTAGAAAAAGCGCACCATGAAATAAGATTGATTTTCATCAACTTAACCATGTTGGCATGTGTAACGGTCTTACAGTTGCCCTCGTTTTTCGCATCACACTATGCACGATAATCACCAAAGTTAGGTAACGTAAAACCCATTTAATGACCAGCGATCAAGAAAGCAATTATTTTGGATGTTGTCAAGATCAGTAACAGAATATCC